AGTAGACATGCTTCCACAGTCACATACCGGTACTGTAGTTTCATAGTCTCCACAGTGACCGTGTCAAAATCGTTACATTTATCAACATCTCAATTGTAGAGTGACTCAATTTTTGCATAGTTGATATCATGTTGTTTTAATAATGTCAACTGTGCCAAGTCAAACCACCCAGAACATAGAAGGCAACACAGGGAATAGAAGTGTTGGAATAAAGTTGGATTATTTTTAGCAGGAAAAAATGTGTAAAATCTATATTTATTGCGTTGTTTAACAGTATGCAGTTCCAATTATTAGTATGGTAGCTTTCATAATACCTACAGGGACAAAGTATCGTCCTGTATCCAAGTATTTCAAGAAATTATTCATCCTTTTTTATACTTCATGGTCCTTTCTTCTCAGTTTGCCTCTTAGGTACCTAAATTAATCTCCTTTAAATTCTCTTCATAAACCAATCAAAATATCCTGCTTATTTTTCATTCAAATTTAAAAAATTTATCCTACTTAAAATTATTATGTGTACATAGACCCTTTCTTCAGTAAAAGTGTTTATTCAGTTAGCCATATATTTTAGAACCTGCTGAGATGTGCGTGGTCTCCGGATGGGTCTAAGGTGTCGGCTGGGTCGGCCGACAGGTTCGTCTACATCTGGGATACGACCTCTCGTCGCATCCTGTACAAGCTGCCCGGCCACAACGGCAGTGTCAACGACGTCCATCTCCACCCGAAGGAACCCATCAGTAAGTTACTTAGTGTCATTGATAACTTTTGGGACATTCAGAAAGAGTCACAAACTAGTATCAAAGAATATCTTTAAAGGCCCGTTCACACGGGGCGAGTTTACAAGCTACACGCCAGCGTGTAAGAAGCCGGCGAGTTGGCGAGTGTGCTTGTATTCGTTCACACGGGCTAAGCCGCAGTGCTTTTAAGCCACAGTGTAACTAATTCGCATTCATAACGTGTCCAGCAATCCTCAGATTAAGTAGGAAAAATGTGAAAAAGTAGAAAGTTCCACTTAACTTTTAATACACCTTGTTGAATGTTTTATCAGATTTTGAACTAGTTGGTACAAATTAATTTGCAAGGGTTGATTATTATAAATATGAATCATAGTTGCTTAATCTGTATATTGTAGAATGAAGTAGAAGTAGATATTCTATTATCCGACCCACACACCCAATGACAAGAAATACATTCAGCTCTTCTTGTCGAGATTTGTCTTTTGATCGCAAATCCAAGCCAGCATTTAGGCCAGTCATAAATATGTTGACCATAACTACATTTTTTTTAGGTACAGTACATTCAAAATTCAGACCTCAAATCTGAGCCCTAATTAAAAATACTGCTGCAGCAAACCTGCCGACTAAGCGAATTTCCATTTGCCTGGATTGATTTTCAAATAATCTATTAAATTAACATTTATTTTTAACGAGTTCCTGCTACAGGGAAACTAATAAAGTGTGTTTTTTATTAATATATCAATAGCTTAGTGTGAAGTAAATAAATCCGCCAAGTTTGATCAAAATATATATCCATAAACAAGCCAACTACAACATTCTACAATATTCTCCATAAGAATAACATGGAAATTTTAAATTAACATTTTTTTTTTAATTTTCTCTGTAACCATTCACCGTACAAAAACACTTTGATATACTAAATTATTTGTTTTTTAAGCTCTTTAAAAATGTCTGGAGAAAAATTGGTAAATTTTGTGTTTTAAGGGTAAAAAATTAGAAAACCCCATTTTTACCCCATAAAACCTCCCGTTAAACCCCTTTCCCATGGTCCGATCATGCTAGTTTGCGAACTCATTCAAGTTTATCCCGCCTTACACCTTCAAACCAAATTTTATCAAAATCAGACAAAAATTACTCAAGTTATCGTCCGGAACGAACTCATATAATATATAGATATATATATACATATATAAAAATTTGAACGAATGGTGTTTTTGGCCTCTGGGGACATCAAAATGAAAAAGTAAATCGGTCCCGGGCCTAGTTCTTACCATGAGACCTACGGTAATAGCTACTTCCCTATAGGGAAATTCGCTAAAATAAACTATTTGATTGTGCACTTTATATAAAAGTTTGTCTACCATGATTTTAGCTAGCCGTAGTTGCTTTCTGCTCATTTTCCTCATACCTACCAGTTGTAATACACTATAACAATATATTTTTTGTTTCAGTCATGTCAGGGTCCAGCGACAAAGTGATTTACTTGGGAGAGCTGGAGTAGCTTTGCGACTCTAGCGAAGTATTTCAACAAGCCAGTCATGTGGCAGTAGATCTGCTAAAAAACTTAAACATATGTATATAATTGTGCTTTCTGATCCTGATAAAGTAGTGATCTCTCACAAAGATCCACAACTAGGTAACTGTTTCAGTCTTCATAACCTCAACGGTTCCATTGTTAGGAGAAATATATTTTTTATGAAGTTACTAGTACTTTCACACATTGCTGTGTGACTCGGTAAAATTCTAAGATGTATTGTAAAGTAGGCCTAATTGTTTTAAACTATGTGTAGCTTTTGTATATAATTTTTAACTTGTAAATAGTTTATATTTGAAAGTTATAATCAACTGTAATTTTAGCCTTTTAGGTGAGACTAGAACCTTTGAATAGTCAAAGCTACGACCAATTGTGAGTTGCATACATGCAATTTAAGAATTTTTATTCACATCCTTGATTGTGGTTCAGGATAATGAAAATGGTTTAGTTTAGTGGCAAATATTCAATTACCATTTTGTTGTTTGGTATTAAGTTGCTTTGGTCTAAAATGTATCTTTTTGTTCATGAACTTATTTTTTAATACTGGATGAAATGTTTTATTAAATTTGCTTTTTTGTTACACTTATTTTTGTGACAAGTAGCTTACTTAACTGGAAGTGATGTTATTTACTTTACTTTAGTAAACGTATCAATTTTCTAGTGGTGTAAATGAAATAAACTCGTTAATTTTTTTGCATCAAATGAAAATTGGAGCTATTCCCACCAATAAAAATATGTTGCTTTACACGTTGTAGCCTGTTAAATTCTAAAATAGGCCAGTATGTTGTTTGATAAAATTAAAATGCACCAATGAACTCACAGGTGGTACCCAACTTTTTCATCAAAAAGACAAATAAATATTTTTTCCTACAGTTACCTAACAATGTACATGTTCTCTCACTGATTTGAGAAAGCAAAGTGGCCAATTTGCTCATCAGAGTTAACATTGTCTCACTCTAATTACTTTGTCTCACTCCAGATTTGCAACGTGAAGGCACGAAATAGTGAGCGCGTAACATGCAGGCAATGTCGTATGCGCGCCAAATACGTTGGCAGCACTGGCTGTAAATCAGCTGGTCAGCTGTTGTACTGTTGTATTTGTCACTTCACATTAAATGTTATATTAAAAGTTCACAACTGTGTAAAAATAGGTTATGTTTCTTCACAAATTTATTTGTTTTATGGTAACTGTAGGAAAAGTATAATGTGCAACTCGAGTTCAAAGTACAATTGCCTCACTCGAGAAACCATTCCTCACTCGCCTACGGCTCGTGAGTAAGGATTTCTCTCGAGTGAGTCAATAGCTCACTTTTCTCACTAGTTGCACAAATAACTATAAACAGCATTGAGAAATGTGCAAATAATGATTTTGTTCAATCTTGTACTTTGACTAAGCCCTTTGTTATAGTCTACTCCAGTGGCATTTTTGTAAGGACAAATAATTAGCGCTTTAAAGGAAAGCAGTCCAACCACTCAAATTTTTGTAGACATGCCGGGAATCTAACTAGCCCTGCTCGCACCAAAGAGGTGCTAACCACTTGGCTAGCATCACACCCAACAAAACACATTTTAATTTATTCCTCAGACCAATAATAATTTGTTTGAGTTTAAACAAAAGCACTTTTTTGTGATAAGTAATAGTAATTTTCTATTGTTATGTAGGTTTAGATTAGTTAGTGAAAAATTAGCTCTGTTGAACATTGTATTAATTAAATACAATCAATAGAAAGGGATTACCATGTTTTTATTTCTCTCACCTTTTAGCGCTGCTAGCATTCTAGTGCGAGTTGCAGTTCATAAAAAAAAAAAATACTAATTGTTATAAGCCTAGTCTTTTGATATGAAAATCTTTTTTGGGTTTTTGGTTAACCCAGCTTTCAGTTAAAGGTGGTTTTACTGCATCTAACAACCAGAGATAAATGTCAGTCAGAAAACAACTTTTGATTAATTTAAGAAATATATTTTGCGTGTAGGTTAAGTAGTACTCTTGTTTTGTATTAAGAGGCCAGAATAGAGTAGAAGACATAATGGTTAACTCAGCTAGCCAAGTTCCTGCCACATCCTGATACTCTCAGACAAAAATATGTCGATTTTATATTAGGAGGCCAGAATAGAGTAGGAGTCATAATGGTTGACTCAGCTAGCCAAGTTCCTACCACCTCCTGACACCCTGATACTCTCAGACAAAAATTTGTCGATTTTATATTAGCCCAGAATAGAGTAGGAGTTCAGCTAGCGAAGTTCCTACCACCTCCTCATAAATTGGTGAATTTTGAATTAGGAGGCCATAATAGAGGAGGAGTCATCATGGTTGACTCAGCTAGCCAAGTTCCTGACACCCTGATACTCTCAGGCATAAATTGGTCAATTTTGTAATAGGAGGCCAGAATAGAGTAGGAGTCCTAATGGTTGACTCAGCTAGCCAAGTTCCTACCACGTCCTGACACTCTGATACTGACATTAATTGGTCAATTTTGTAGGAGGCCAGAATAGAGTAGGAGTCATCATGGTTGACTCAACTAGTTAAGATGCTACCAATCATTGTCACCATGCTACTCTTGGGTATAATGTAGTCAAATTGTTTACTATGAGGTTATGATGATGTAGGAATCGTCATTACTGGCTCACATTAATTGTATTGTCATTGTAGGCAGAAATCACATAGTATAAGGAAATATGAAAAAAGAGGTGTTTGTGGGTACAGTGAGGGAGGAAATATGAAAACATCATAACAACAAAACAATTTATTAAATACATTGTGTGCTAGGAAATATTTAAGATTGCTCTTTTTATTTACATGAGATTTGGTTGTGGAAAGACCTGTTTACAACCGTTACAGTGAAATCACTGAAATCAAAACCTAAAATTAACAAGTACAAAAAACATTCATATTTTTTTAGAACAAACAATAAGGATATATGGAAGCAAATCAGTAAATAAATTGCCTTATTCTAAGTAATGTATAAAAATACAGAGAAAACGTATATGTAACAAATGCAATAAGAATAACACATCTTAACACTAGCACATTTTGAGAATGAATCAAGTATCTCTTATGATTCAAGATCATAGACAAATAGCACTTCACCTTTCCTAAGCCCCCACTCATTTAAAGTCTGTGTTTTTGAGGGTCCTTTACAGTCTAAAGTTCGCTTTGGGAAATTTGTTGTGATTTCAAATTCATCTGGTGATTGAGGATGGCAGAACACAAAATGGAAAATGTCCTGCAAAAATAAGAACACATCTCATACTTTGACCAATTAGGAAACAAGCAATTGCAGCAAAAACTATAATTTTTCAATTGAAAGTCTTGGTAAACACAAAATTAAAATACCCCAAATTTCAGTAAAAATGTGCAACTAGGTCTATCTGAATTTTTGTATCATCCTAATGTCGCAATTGATTTGGTTAGTTTGAGATCTACTGAGCATTATCATCATCAGTTAAGCTGCATAAAACAGGTGAAATAAAAATGTTTTATTTAACAAAAAATAAATTACAAACCTAGGCTTTTTGCACCATATACATGGTTGGCAGAGATATTTATTTCATAGTACTTAGTAGAACCATAAAATTAATTTTAGACTTTTAATATAACAAATACACCCCCCCCCCCCCCAAGGGAAAAAATCTAGTTTAAAAAATGATAAATTTTTCCTAAAAAATATTAAAATTTTAAGTGATTTCATATGTTAAATTCTGGTACCAATCCCCACTTAAGATGCCAAGCCACTTAAAATACCCCCCAAAGTGGGCTATCTCTAACATTCATAAAACTCAAAATTTCTTCCCACTCCAATTCATGCTTTGAAGTGACAATGGACATTTTGCTCTACAATCCATCGCTTCTGGAAGCCTAAGGCTCCGGCCACACGAGGCGGTTTAACCGCGCGAAGTTAAGGGGCTCGACAACACATTGAATCAAATGAGAGTGGCCACACGAGGCGAAGTTTAGCCGCATGTGCGGTTGAGCCGCGCCATGTCGTCCCCCAACCGCGCGAAGTTAAGCCGCGTTGGGGGGGATGACACACGTAGTCTTAGGAGAGTGGCCACACGATACGGTTCGACCGCGCGGCAGCCGCGCTTATTGGAGATATTCTTCGGACACTTCCAGTGCTTTTTTAGTTTGTTTTGCGTGTTTGTTACAGGTTGTGTGGTGTTCAAAAAATGTTTGATGTTATTGTCAGACGTTCCTCAGCACTAATTGAACTTCTCATGAGTGTATCTTCTTTAGCTATATGTGGTTGGCGCAATTCAAGTAACTTGTCGAACGATGCAGTAACACTAAACACATACATACGGTAATAACCAATATAACTCCGAACTATGGTTTCGCATGTGCTCGTAAAAAGTTTGGAACACAAATGGTTTTTCCGTTAGGAAGGGATGGACCAAATGGTTTCTGTTAATATTTGGTTCAAGATCACCACACGCTTCTAATGCACAAACTAACATAATGTTTCGTCCACGACTAAAAAGAGTGAACTGAATTATGTTTAAATAGAGTACTGATACTGGGAAAACCCAACAGGAAGCGGTTCATCCGCCCCGTGTGGCCAGGTACTTCGCGCGGCTTAACTTCGCGCGAAGATAAGCCGCGCGGCTTAAATTCGCCTCGTGTGGCCGGGGCCTAAGCACTATGTCAAACTGTGTGTGTGTAATTGTAAAAAGTGTGTTGAATAAGTAGTATTATTGCACCTTGAGCATTTACTAAATATAATAATCTAAACACTATCCAGTCCTCAATAATAGTTATCTAAAAAAAAATAGGAATTGAGGTAAGAAAATTACCTCTAACGTGTGAGTTTGCAAGAATCTCCGCTCGAGTCTTGTTCCATTGGGCATCTTAAACACAACACAGACAGACTGCGGATCTGCAGCAGGTGGCTCCCTCGGCACCAGAGCAACCAACTCAATCTTCTGTCGTTGTAGCTCCTAGAGACACAAAAACATCTATTATATTATTATTCTTATCCTTACTCCTATCTCTGGTTGATTACCTTTGACTATTGTTATTGATACCACCGCATTCAAGTTTTTGCCAGTTTTAAATCAAAATCGTCTTACAAGGACCTTTTTATCCAAGGCAAACTAATGGATACTTATTGTGAGCTATAGCAATAGCAACGGTTATGACCCATCAACTTGGCCAGCAACAAAAAATAAGGTAGAAAATAAAATTTTAGATATTCAAAATCCATTTTTAGCCCCTGATACCACCGATATGTAGATGATACTATTCTTTTGTTTAACGGTAACGTCCGACAACTTGAATTATTACACAAATATCTAAACAATATTGCCCCAAATTTGAAATTCACGATGGAAATTGAGGAGTCAAACAAAATGAATTTTCTAGACCTGACAATAAGAAAAATTCGACAATAGATTGGATTTCAGCATTTGTCGTAAGCCAACTACGTCAAACCAAACCATCCATAACACGTCATACCATCCACCATCACAGAAATATGCCGCTTATAATAGTATGTTATATAGATTGTTAAATGTTCCAATGTCAGACAACAATATTAATAAAGAACTCAATTTGATCAAACACATAGCGCTATCTAATGGGTACAACAGCAATATGATTGACAGGTTATTAAGTAAGATGAAAAACAAAAAGTCTGGAGACGTCCAACCACTAAAGAAGAAGTATGTGTGTGTAGAGTACTCACATTCAATTCAGTACTCACTTACGAAAGAATTGAAAAAACATGGTATCGAATTGGCGTTCAAGACCAACAACAAGACAATTAATAAATTAAACGTTTCTGATCGTGTAATCGACAAAAGTGAGAAGTCAGGTGTATACAAAATTAAATGTGCTAGTTGCCCGAGCTTTTACATAGGAAAAACTGGACGGACATTCGGAACCAGGTACAAAGAACATCACCCATGTCCAAGAGCCGACAAACAAAAATCATCCTTTGCTCAACACCTGGTTGACAAAAATCATGACATGTATGATCTGAACACTGGTCTCGATATACTCCACACAAGCAAGAAAGGAAATAAATTGGACACATTAAAAGAATACGAAATTTACAGAGCCTATACAGAAAATAATTTTGATGACACAATATTAAATGACAAACTACAATATAAATCACACATCATATTCAATAGTATTTTAGACCAGGACAAGATACAAAAGGCAGGAGTACAAAGGTCAGCTGATAACACCACTACGCAAAGATCGATGTAGGATTAACCTCTAGTCGGCATCCAGTTCAGATCGCGGCAATGTCAACCGGTACCGTGTGTGCGACAGGCCTGTTCGTTGTGTTTTCGTTAGTAATTGTAAAATGTTATTCGTGTTCGTGTTATGTGTTTCAACTATGACGACACTACTTCAGCTGAATGTTCAACGTCTGACGATGGCATTATAATGCCGAAACGGCCGTAACTCAAGTTACAACAGTTTGAGCTGTAGACGAAGGTAAATACCTATTTCTATATACAATATACAGCTGATGCGGTTCAGTTCCTTTGATTCTACGGGTATAAAAAAGTTATGTTTCTGCGTTTAAAATAAATGGCAGAAAATTAGGGTTGTAAAAGGGCAATGAATACAAACCCTTTAAGAAGTTAAATGCCTTCGTAGAAAAATTCAGTCTGGAAATATTTGAATTTTCGATAGTTCCCACGGCGGCCGCTAGGTAGACTATAGCGAGCGCGTGGCCAAGTCAGCTGACTGAGTGAAACCAAGAATCTGCTTAGAAAGAAAGAGAGATAGAGTATCGTGGCTACCGCGCAAAACTCATTTTGGCAGAAAAATTCCAGTCTGACTATTCTCCATAAGCATTTAGCTTCTTAATGGGTTTGTATCCATTGAAAAGGGTGAAAATGTGATTCATGATGCGGAGCAGAATTCCATTCCATTCTTGATGTGCTAGTTTGATCAAAAACTCAAGTCTTAAAAATAGTAGGCCTACTACGTAACCGATGTCTGTGATTCTTCACCTCAAAACTGAGTATTTAGCTAATTTTACTGTAGGTTTCTGCCATGCTGCAGTTTTCAATATAGCCTATACAGAATATTATTTTAGTATGTTTGTACTGTGAATAAATATATGAGGTAATTCATGTGTAAACCATAGAACTACAACAAGTGGAATGCCGGCTCAAGCTGCGCTAGGCAGTTTGGAAACGAGCCGGCCCTATTCGGCTCCCCCCAACACAAGTCAGTGTTGTGGTGCATAGTGAACTATGCGGCACATGCTCCTAGCCTATGTTTCGCATCACTAGTTCACTAGCCTAATCGTTTAATTAATCACTTACTTGAAAACTATTTAATATGATGACATGCCTGTATACTGCGTCAACATACAACGGCAAAAATTATCTTGATATATAAAAAAAAATGTTCTAAACAAAAGAATGTTTAATTAGCTTTCCAACTCACACACATTTTTTAATAACAAGGAAATTAAAGTTAGATTAACAGGACATATCTTAAGTAACAGTGTTTCTGATGGGTTAAGAGTTTCTGTTAACTAGCACAAACTCTGATTTTGAATTTTGAGGAAACATCATAATTTATTCGAATAGACATATTTTTTAGTTTGATGAAGACACAAAACTCTTATGACGGCTCAAAGAAGTTCCCCAAATTAATCCATGTGTGTGGTTTTGAACAAATTTGGATCAATCATATTTTTTAGAAAAAGCAAATCACATTGATCACTTTAAAATTCTTGATTTAAAAATTCAAAATGCTATTGGGTCATTTAACACTAACCGTCCGTAATTAAGAAACTTCACAAAGTGGGAAAAACTTCTTAAATAGTTTTATGATCTAAAATTTGATTGAAATATTTGTGTAATATAATACTAGGCGTAGCTATGTAGTCTCTTTGTTTGAAGTTACTGCATAAAAATGCACGAATGAGATTGTGTATTTCAATGTTCTTTTTAACAAGAAATACTTGAATGATGCACAAATAAGAGTCAGTATGCTAAAATTTGGGAAGTTGGTTGAGATACTGTAACTAAACGGGAAATTTAAGGCATCAATGTTTTAAAATATACTAAAAAACCTTCGCACCTGTTTCTTAACACGCTTTAACCTACCGGTACCAAATTGTTAAGTAAAAGACTAATTTAGTAACTTAAATTATAATTTCATCTTAGCAAACAAAGTTTCATAAGACCAGTTGGAGTTATTTTCTCTTGTATACGAGCCAGGCACAGGTGTAATAATAACTGAAACATAGTTAATTAGATTGGCATCTACGCAGTTAATGTTTAGGAACATACGAATATACGAGTGGTGTAAGTTTGAGTGAATGATGAAGTGAAATGTTCTGTGTGGCATTCAATGCACAACTAACAATAAAACCTACTCGTAAAAACTATGTGTATTTTCAATAATGTGATAAAGGAATCATCACACAACAATAAATCACCACAATCAAGTTCTTAATAATAATGATAAAGCCTGAAAACGTAACGCGCCCATCGTAATACATGGGTCAGTGCTGCTCCGTCCTTGTGGTGGGGAGAGCCCTTCCGCGGCCGGCTCGTTTTGGCCGCATTGAGTCAGCGTTCCATGTTTAGGCCTATAGTTCTATGGTGTAATCTGAGGTAATTTAGAAAAGACTTTTAGTAAATAGCCATGGGTGAGTATTAATAGAGGTATACCTGTAATCTTCAAACTCTAATACTTGCACTCGAGTCAATCATGTAATTGACTCAACGACCTGTATTGAAATTGCAATGTTTATCTCTTTTTAACACAATCACTCGATGTGAATTAAGAGTAAATCTCTGCACCTCTTTTCTCTGCCGTTCTGCCTCCTCCGCCTCTCTCACGAGCCTCTCTTCCTCCTCCCGCTGTTCTTTCTCCTCTCTGCGTCTCCTCTCCTTAGCCTCGTCAGCTCGTAAAGACATCTCGTAAGCCTCGTCCTGCTGACGACGCAGAGTCTGGTTGAAACTTCTCTCCACCCTGCAAATCACCATCACCAAATTATACAATTTTTTCCATAAACACAGAATAAATGTTTTCAATTGATGTATTATGTAGTTACGAGTAAAAGAACACGAATACATCAATACTCCCAGCTTTTGACTATTGATACAACTAGACATTCCATCCCAATGTTAAAGTTGTCCCCAGTTATCAGCGATAATCTACTTTTAGGCCTACACACTTTTAAACATTGCTAATTAATCTAAAGCACCATCAAGATGCAACCAAATATTTTCTCAACCCACCTTTCAGCTCTTGCTGCCACTAAAGCAGCCTCATTGGCCTGAATAATGGTCTGCAGTCGTCTGACAAGCTCTACTGCATCCACAAAACCTTCACTTCTGTAAACAGAACACAGAATCAGACACCGATTCATAACTGACAATTCATAACTGATTCATAAACTAAGTTATGAACTACAATTCCAACATGACTGTTAAGGTTATATTTTAAAGGAAAGCAAAAAAACCTAGCGAAAGGATACAATCAAAATAAACTATACCGAGCAATGGCTTGGCTGCCCGGTACTTTCATCCTAAACCATTAACACAAAAAACAACACTTTTTCTTTCCCTCTAGTAGATCACCTAGAAGTACAGTGCAGTCCGGCTAATCCAAACTAATTGGGACCGAACCCCGTTCGGATTAGCTGATTGTTCGGATTAGCCGAAATAACGTAGATAATCAAGATGGAAGCAATTTTAAGGGGTCGTAGTGTCGTAATATGAACGAGCAATACACAAAAACCAATTTTAATAGTCCATTTACTACAACAAAATTAAAAAAAAAACAACAGTTAAAGTTAAACTCCGGCAGTTAAACTTAAATAAGCGCATCAGTTGTGCAATATCTAGCGTGTCAACAATCAACTAGCGTAGAGCGATATGAACGGGTGGGCAGACGTGTATGATGTGACGATAATGCGTGCGGACTGTACGTCTGCACGCACTGCTTACCGAGACTGTACACAGTAGCCTACACGTCTGCCCCCCTCCCCTCACCAATAAACTAGCTTAATTGTCAGAATCGCAACACAACAACACCTTGATCTAGTCTGCTTTTGTTTACGTAGTGCGGTCAGTCACCTGTGGATTTGCGTGTGTACGGGTTTTTAGTGTGATAAGTGCAATGTCTAACAAACGTAAACATAACACTTTGACTCTTAAAGATAAGCTGGAAACTATAAAACGTTTGGATAATGGTGAAAGTGTGACTAAACTAGCGAAAGAGCTGAACGTTGGCAAAGCTACAATTTGCGACTGGAAAAAAAACCGTGCGAAACTTCAACAATATTGCACAACGTCTTCAGAGGTAACCCTTGAAAATCGGCAAACGGCGCGACAGTCGCAGTATGATAAAGTTGACGAAGCGCTTTTTCTGTGGTTCTCGCAAGAAAGGGAAAGGGGAACCCCTTTAAGTGGACCTATCGTTCAAGAAAAGGCAATTCAGTTGAACAATCTGTTAAATGGCGACAGTTCCTTCACAGCCAGCACCGGTTGGTTTGACCGGTGGAAAAAACGTCATGGTATTCGTCAGCTAACTGTCACCGGTGAACAACTTTCCTCAGATCAGGCTGCAGCGCAGGAATACCTTGCTTCATTTGACAATTTAATAAGCGAAGGAAATTATTCCCCCCAACAGATATATAACGCTGACGAAACCGGCCTAAATTTTAGAGCACTGCCAACTAAAAGCTTGGCCTCTAAATCAGAAAGTCGTGCTCCTGGTTTTAAAATGTGTAAGGACCGAGTAACCATTATGGCTTGTTCCAATGCTGCTGGTAACCATAAGCTTCCTCTTATGATGATAGGCAAAGCTGCTAAGCCTCGAGCCTTCAAGAATATAAACATGAAGTCACTTCCAGTGTATTACAGGAACCAGAAGAGAGGCTGGATGGACGGGAAACTGTTTAAAGAATGGTTCCATGACCAATTCGTACCATCTGTTAAACGGTTTAGCCAAGAAAATGACATTCCCCCACGTGCTATTCTTTTGCTAGATAATGCACCGTCCCACCCAGATGTCGACGAACTAACATGTGGCGAAATAAAGGCAGCCTTTTTACCTCCAAATGTGACGCCATTATTGCAACCAATGGACCAGGGGGTTTTGCAGGCTCTGAAGCTTAAGTATCGCAAACACTTTTTAAAGTCCCTAATTGAAGACGATACAATTCCCTTGGTTCAAAAAATTAAACAAACGAACGTAAAGGATGTTGTGTATTGGGCAGCTGAATCTTGGGAAAATGTGACAACTGGGGCGATAAGAAAATCGTGGAAAAAGTTGTGGAAATCGTTAGATTTTGAAGAAACCCCTACCGAAAATGACCCAGTTAACTTATTACCAATGATTCGAAACATTCCCGGTTGTGAAAACGCGGTAGAAGAAGACGTGGATGAATGGATGGCGGCAGACGGTACTAGTGCAGAGACTCTGACTGAAGATGACATCGTAGCAGCAGTGACGCAAGATCATGTTCAGGGAGACGAGGGGGAGGGTAGTGATGACGAGCCAGGGGGCGGGGGAGGAGAGGAGAAAGTGACACACAATGAGGCAGCTGCAGCGCTTGACCTTGCCCTTCGCTACTTAGAGCAACAGTCTACTGCCACGCCTGCAGATGTGATGTTCATGAGAAAATGGCGGAACTACGCGGCAAAAAACAGACTTACTAAACTGCAGCAAATGACAATGCGGGACTTCATGTCCAATGACAAGTAGGCCTAACCAAAGTTAATTTTTCAGTACGGTATGTGCAATATTTCTTACAAAATAATTCTTTGTTTTATTTGTTTTTTATTACGATTTGTAAATTTAAACTTTACGTAATAAACAAACCATTGTATTCCTTAATTGATTACTCTGTTTATACTTCATTTCAAGATGTTTTACCTTTCCCATTGTATTTTATATAGTGCAAATTTATTAAAATTAATATCGGGAACGTGTTCGGATTAAGCGGACGTTCGGATTAACCGTGTTCGGATTAGCGGGACTCAAGTGTACTCGTTAAACCTAGTATTATTCAAACAGGGAAACGATTGAATCTGGTATTTTCAAGGAAATGTTTAAATCACAGGCAAATGGAAATTTTCTTATTCTGCAGGTTTGTTGCGGAAGGGGTATTTTCAATCCACCCTCTGAGTCCTCCAATAGGACATAAGTGTGCTGAATTTCGGTAGTTTGAGACATTTTTTCAGGTAAGCTTGCTTGCTGTCTAATGTAGGACATACCGGCCGACGACAGTCATTCTGTTGTCTTTGAGCATGATGACAGCGAGTAGAGGGTACGTGTGCGTCTGGAGGGACTGCACCACTCTATAACCCTCCCCTGAGCTGGTATTGCAACTCCAGAACAACATGGAGCTGTTGATGAACTGGACCACTGTCTCATTGCTTAGGGTAAACCTGAAAACATCAATCAATACACAATTACACGTACAGATTAGGGTATATATCTACATGACACACAAGAAACACTATACTTTCATGAAATTTAACATTTGATTTAACAGTTTTAACAGATCTGTCATACAGTGTCCATAAAAATAATAACAATTTTAGACATTAGCCATACTTTTACTTCTCAAAGTAGTACGATGTTCTACTTGTGTTGGTTGAATCAACCACATCCTGTAGTTTTGTTCTTTAATCATATTTATTTTATCATCATAGACTAACCAACACAAGTAGACATCACATCTCATTGTAAATTTTAAAGCTCGTTTTTTGCACTGATCGATAGTGTAGACAAAATTTGGTTTCTATTATTATAGGGGTAATTTAGTGATTTGTGCTTTACTGTTTGGTTATATAACTAGAGGACGAGTTACTGTTTATGAATTTCTCAAAACAGATCGTTTTATTTGGTTAAACGAGGTTTTGAATGTCTGAAATAACAAGAAACAAATTGTAAACATAACACGACCTCTCGGCACTATCATCAAAACACCTCGCAGTCAGGAAGCCCTCTTCGACATGGCTGGCGGTCACAGCGCCATCAACAGCATGTCTCGCGATCACGCCAACATCGTCAGTAAGCCCCACGCTTGCGACAAGATCGTCAACATCTCTCGTAATCGCGGAGACATCATTATCGTCACCCACAATACGGGCAAAATCTCCTGCGATCACTGATATGTCATCATGCTCACTTGTGACTTGTGACATGGCGAAATCACTCACGATCGGAACTAATCCCGTCCCGAGAATCACGGTGAAATTAAAAATCGGGCATCTTTCTTTGTATAGGTTTTCTGCAACCGCAAAAACATTCGGCATGGTCACGGCAGAATCATCAATATCTTAGGAGATAAGAAAAATCTGAGATTACAGCAAAATTGTGAACATCATTCGCGATTGTTATGATGAATTATTACAGAAATCGGCATACAATTCTGAATTCCAACCAACTTAAATCCAAACAGGGACGTTAGTTCGGAATAGTGGGACTTACAATACAGTTAGGAAGACAATACCTGCAAAAGTTGGTACAGTTGTTGTTATTATCTTGGTGCAGATAAATGAGTAGAAAGCGCAGTTCTTGTTTGGCATCACTGATAGCTTGGCCGTACGACCCTTGGTAGAACACAGGATGAATGGGGCCGTACGTATCTTCAAACTGTTGGACGAACCGCATCACATCTCCCACGGGATCAGTGACCGCTGCTGGCAATACAGTTTTTGATCAAACTTTACAGATTCATTAAAAAGTATTCATTCTTTGACCTCTAAATTGTAATATTCAGAATGTGACGTAAGGGTAGCATAAAAATCCCAAAAAGACTAAATACTCCCTGCTGCAGCAAATCTGCGGACTAAGCGAATTTCCATTAACCCGATTGGATTTTCAATTAAATCTATTTAAATAACATTATGTTTAACAAGTACCTAGGTTTGCTGATACAGGGAGGGTATAGAGTGGGATTTTTAGTAGAATATCAACAGTTATGACCCATCAACTTGGTCAGCAACAAAAAATAAGGTAGAAAATAAAATTTTAGATATTCTTTGGTTGATCACACAACTATGTTATTTCTTAGTAAAAAATCAGTGACAGCTGGTTCATATAGATGGGGTCTACTTCAGTATCCAATTAGTACAATAAAAATATGTTTAGACAAAAAAAATTAGCACAACCAAGGAATTTGGTAAAAGTGTTGGGTGTACCTTCCTTTTGAACATATTAAAAGTCCCCCAAAATTGAAGCTGTGCTATGGCCGCCATATTGGAAAATGGCGCAATATTTCGGTATTTTTGGCTATAGTGACTTTATTATTAGAGATACAGGAAAAAGCTAAATATACAAAATGTAGTCCATCTAAAAATACAAAATTTGTGTATTTATCATCTTTCTCTAAGCCCAACGGTTTTTGAGTTATTTGTGATTAAGTATATTTAGTTTTTCTTTTTATCAAAAATAATCAAAACCCATGGAAATCGACGTTTACTTTCAAGGTTTACGACAATTCCTCCCATTTAGTTAAATAGTGTGATACTATAAAATCTTAAAATTTTACTTTATTTAATGAGTAAAACAACTCCACCACAGCTAACCTGCAGACTCAGCAAATTTCCATTTGACTAATTGGATGTTTTATTTATGTATATAAATAAAAATTAGGTTTAACAGGCACCTAGGTTTTCTGCTACAGGGAGGGGTAATATAGTGTGCTTTTTTAGTAAAATATCAATAACTTAGTATAAAATAACATAATTTTCCAAGTTTGATCATAATAAATCCATAAACAATCAAAACTACAACAGTTTACTTATTCATAAGAATAGCTGGGAGTTTTAAAATTACAATTTACAAATTTAGTGGTGTTTACTAAAAAGATGGCGATTCTTTATCAAGATTCGAATACTAACCGAAGGGGTTTTCAAAAAGGGATTTCAAAAGGAGATGTTAATTTATTAAATGGGTAAAAAATAATTTTAGTATAAAATAAGTTAATTTGCTAAAATTGATCAAAATATATCCTTGAACAAGCAAACTACAACAGTTTACTTATTCTCCATAAGAATAGCATGGTTATTTTAAATTTACAATTTTTTTAATTTTTTCTGTGACCCATAATAATTGTAAAAACCTCTTCAATATACTTACTAAATTATTTGTTTTTTTAAGCTCTAAAAAATGGTAACAAGAGAAATTGGGAATTGTTTTGTTTTGAGGGTCATAAATGAGAAAAACCAATTTTTACCCCATAAAACCCCGGGCCCCTAAAACCCCGTTCTTATAGTCCGATCATGCTGATTCGCAAACTCATTCAAGTTAATCCCGCCCTTCAAGCCAAATTTCATAAAAAAGGGACAAAAATTACTCAATTTATCGTGTTCACGGACACACGTACATTATTGCTTCCCCACAAACTCCCCTGACTAGAGCGGTGATTATAAGTGCGGTGTCTGGTGACACTTTATGGTTTCTCTGAGCTCTGATTAACCGAGACTATCAACACTGAGGCTATCCTAATCACTATAGACTCCTGGAAAATCCCTGCAACCCGGCTCGTGAGATTCCTGGGACTTAGGCGATTGTTATGGTGGCGGAATTTCCTGCGTTGCCATACAAGTTTTTGCCGGCAGGAAATTTACATCACAAATAAGCCTAATAATTACTTTACAAATAAATAATTGCTTTTTAGCGAATTTCCCACATAGGGAATCAACTATTACCGGTCTTGTATATATAGGCCTAAGCCTATTTGTATATGTCTGTATGTCCTTAAATGAGTTCACAAACTAGTGTGATCGGTAATCGGAAAGGTGATCTATCGGAAAGGGTTTGATGGGGAGTTTAATGGGGTAAAAATTGGGATTTCCCATTTCGAGCCAAGCGTAAAACTATGTAAATTTTTTCCTAAACAATTTTGAAGGACCTATCAAAATAAACAACTTAGTATGCTTTTGCGTTGTTGTGAGCTAAATGGTTGTGAAAAAGTTGAAAAAACTGTTAATTTTCTATGTTATTCTTATGAACAATAAGTAAACTGTTGTAGTTTGCTTGCTTAGGCCTATACTGTAGTTTGATAAAAATGTATTTCATAATAAGCTATCAACATTTTACTAAGAAACACCCTTTATTAGGCCTACCTTCCCAGTAACAGAAAACCTAAGTACTCATCAAACTAATTTTTAATTTTTTAGGATTTTTTGAGAGGATAGCAGGCTTACCTGAATGGGAAAGAGTCCAAACTGGCACAAGAAACACAAAACAAAACTTTACACTATATACATTGTATACACTATATACATTGTTGTGAAACAAAGAACATTATCTACCAACTACAGTGTAACAAATGTGAGGCACAGTATGTAGGCCTATCCACCAATAGCCTCAGAACCAGGATGAATGGCCATAGACAAGATGTATCTACTGGATACAAAGACAAACCAGTTGTACAACATGCCCAGAGCCACAACAACCCTAGTTTCAATGACTGCTATACAACCAAAATAGTCAAATCACTGCCTCCTCAATGTAACCAGTCACAACTGAGAAGATGGGAATTGTCTAACCAATGGTTTACTAAGTCTAGACAACCCCCAAACCTAAACCTAAGATACTACCTTTCATCTAACCCACTCCACTTCAACATCCAACCCAACTAGCAGGCTTACATATTTATTCATATATATAGTGCATATAAGATAAACTGAAACTGTGTTTTTTGAATTCATACTATTGGCAACACTGACTCAACAACTCACTGGCCACCATTTTGGAAATCTAGAAAACTCTCTCTTCCTTAGTTGAAAATGCTGTCAGTGACAGTGAAATATTCTAATGTTTTGTGTATATAGTGTAAAGTTTTGTTTTGTGTTTCCTATGCCAGTTTGGACTCTTTTCCATTCAGGTAAGCCTGCTATCCTCTCAAAAAATCCTAAAAAATCTAGGCCCTTGTGCTCTATTCTACACCTTTAATTTTTAATTTTAACTGAGATTCATTCAACTACGATTTATTTGGCTATTTCAAAGTCTATTGTTTAAAACTGAGGCAAGAAAACATGAAATATATCAACTTACGTCTTCCTGTATCTCCGAACATCAGACGATATGTGGTTCCTAACAAACTGGTCAACGTGTCGTAGCAGAAGTGAAAGAATACTGTGGCTATGTATCTTATGAAGCTCCAACTGCTAACAGGCAAAGAAACGTGTGTAGTTTCTCATACACATTATCAATAAATAATCGCAGTGCAGTTTTACTTTAGGTATATTCTTTACAGTAAATTAATCTACAACCACACTACGATCCCAATCCAGCAATTGTGCCTATAGACAAACTATTGTAACCCTAAACAGTGTAAAAATAAAAGTATGATATTTCGATTTTAACAATAAGATACCCGTGTTTTAACAAAGCACTAATTTATGCTGTTGATAATTTTATCATTGCGGGCTTTTAATAAGTACAATAATTAGGCCTCATTGGAATTCAAACTGTTTTGGAATAGCGAAAATTCAGAAATAAATGGTATAAAATTAGGACTTGTACAGGGTGTACCTCAAAGAGTTAAAGTTGTTTGATTTTATCTTCATCGACGCATCGAATGTTTTGAAAATTAACATGATTTATAAAGTAGGTTTAGAAAAAAATATTGTGAACATTTCAGCTTCCTAACATTTGTAGGGACAACATCTTTTCTGATTTTCTTCCTATAAAAAGCCTTCCTTGAGTTAGGCAATTACCTGTGTTGCAGACAATTTTTAATTGCCTACACAGAATCAACTACCTAATAAATAAAAAGTAGATAAATTTTTTGTTAAAAACTTGTAGTTTGAAAAAGTGTGTCTAATTGTTTCTGTAATGTTACAAAGAACAATATCTCACGCACAATTCTTCACACTTTTTCTTCAACAATGACCCATTGACAAAGACTTACAAAGTGTAGCTCGTCACCGCATTTTGCCTTAAGATAGTCGTACTGCTAACCCACTAACTCTCTTGTATTACGTCGCATCCAACCTACAAGCGCTAGTGTCGTCGTGTGCTTATAGTGGCAATCAATCCGTACGACCAACGGTATCATTGTAGCTCAGTTGGCTAAGCAGTTGATGGGTGTTGCACTGACAAGTGTTGCGTATCTACATTTGCGGGTTTGAATCCTGTACATGTGCAGTTAGAGATGAACGAGATTGGATTTTTAGTTCGAGACAAGACAAGATTTTTTATTTCTCATAAAAATTTGAGACGAGATCGAGACAGGATTCCCTTCTCATACATAACAGGAAAAGCATGTTTGATATGTTTTATGACTAAAACATTAATGAAATAAGAACGTCTTCGCAAACGAAACGCAACTACAACGCGCTCCTGTATTGCGGATAAGTAATTGCATTGACTTTCTGCAGGCGTTTAAATTTTTTTTCTCGTCTTGAAAAAATCTTGATAAAAAAAATCCTGTCTTGTAGATCGAGATTTAAAATTTCCTGAAATTTTGAGACTTGTCTTTAATCCTTATGTGCAATCGATATTAAGCTCACTAACCAGTGGCTAAGCTTAAGTGGAGGGCCCACCTTAAATAAACTAAGTCTGGCTTGGATGGAAGTTCAGATTTAATAAGGACTAGTTTACACGTTGCTCGGAGTTATTTCAAAACGAATAACAGTCATATGTACAATGAGTTTCAACTCAAAGATTACAGGTGTGTAACTCAGACCATGTTTATCTTCGTTATTGATAAACCTAAAGCATTCCGGCCGGTTTTCTCCTTCTCAAAATGCCTCGCTGTACAGGCAACACAGGCCACTGATAGAGGGCCAATTGAGAACAAAAAGTCGTTTTGGGGTAGTGTTAGGTGAGTTAAGCCTTTTACGCACCACTGTTCTGTAGCTGCGGTCGTTATCACGATTACGCCTCTTGTCTATGTTTCGTTGTCGTCGCGTCGGAGGCATTTAAAAGAAAAAATACCCCCGCCGCAGCAAACCTGCCGTCTAAGCGAATTTCCATTTGGTCGAATTGATTTTCAATTGATCTATTTAAATAACATTAGGTTTAACGAGTACCTAGGTTTGCTGCTACAAGGAAACTAATAAAGTAGTGTGTTTTTAGTAAAATATTGATAGCTTACTATAAAATAAATAAATTTGCCAAGTTTGATCAAAATATATCCATAAACAAGCAAACTACAACATTTTACAATATTCTCCATAAGAATAACATGGGAATTTTAAATTTACAATTTTTTTAGTTTTCTCCGTAACCAATAACCGTACAAAAACACTTTGATATACTGAATTGTTTGTTTTTTTAAGCTCTTTAAGAAGGTTTAGAGAAAAATTGGGAAATTTTGTGTTTTGAGGGTAAAAAGTGAGAAAAACCAATTTTTACCCCATAAAACCCCCCATAAAACCCTGTTCCCATGGACCGATCATGCTGGATCGCGAACTCATTCAAGTTTATCCCGCCTTACACCTTCAAACCAAATTTCATCAAAATCTGATAAAAATTACTCAAGTTATCGTGTTCACGGACACATATATATATATCTAACAAAAAAACCACTAAGTGGTAACACTTCCCCCGCCAAGTCAGCAACCCAAAAAAGACAATAAATCACCACTTTTCCGCCAAGTAAAACAATGTAATGTATGTAAGTTTGGCAACTTGGCGGCAGACTTTTGCTTGTTTTTTTTCATTAAAGTTACGTTGGTGGATAATTTCACAAATCAACTTCTCTAATTAATTAGTCCAACTAAGTATAATAATTTCGAGGTAATCAGTAAATATAAAACCATATCACTATTATGATTTTATGAAATGTGACACAAATAAGGTCAAATTTTGTAAAATAAGCTCTCATCTAGCAATGTACTATTGGGAGAGATACTTGCTCAATGAAACTAATTTTATGGTATTTTTTAAAGTGATCAAGCAAAAGTCTGCCGCCAAGTGGCCAAACTTACATACATTACATTGTTTTACTTGGCGGAAAAGTGGTGATTTATTGTCTTTTTTGGGTTGCTGACTTGGCGGGGGAAGTGTTACCACTTAGTGGTTTTTTGTTAGATTGTATTTATTTTTGTAGAAAATTAACAGTTAAAATAAAAATCCTCTTTTCTCTTATATATAGACCAGGGCACAACTACACATAAAATGCATTGGTGTTACATAAGTGTTCCGATAATTAAACCCGTATATCTAAAGACTAGTGTAAATTGAGCCCTTATTAGAGAAGTAAAAATGTAATCAAAAAGATTAGGTTTGTTAGAAATAGCATAAGGCAAAACAAATATTGAAAAACTCATTTTTATCCTAAATTTACATATCACTTTTTACATTCACTTTTTTGCTTGTTTAACATACGTAGACGGATTTTCCCGATTGTTTTATTTGTTTTAGTGTATCAAAACATAAAACTAACCTTATTTAGTTAAATAAATTTTGGCAATATTATGAAGAAACAATGTTAAAACTAACCTTAGTACTAGTACTAAGTTTCAAGTTCTTAGGTTTCATATGTATAAAAAGGTATTTTATGTATAAGTAGTATTAAACTGTTAAAAATGACGAGCTGCTGTACCAGTGTACCATCGGTACACTGCATTTTTCAATGGAAAGTATCGGGGAATATCACTGCTCTAAGTAATTTTATATAGTAAGTAGCTCAAATCATTCGGTATACCTGAAAAAAATACTTTATAAAAGTTTTAAAATAATTTTTCAGCTGATCCTATGAATTTCTCTAACATTTTAAATTAATTGAGATTTAATCGCAGCTGATCCTTCTTTTGTTTTGATTTTAATCCCATGTTATTTAAATGGGCCAAAATCGTACTTTGAGGGCTTGCCAAGGGTTTATGGGTCAACGCACCGACTTGTGACCCTCAAAAGGCACATCTACACGCTAAGGGCTTTCAAACAACATAATAAACATTAAAATTGAGCCAGTGGTTTGGGCTGTAGGTCCGTCAACATTTAAGGAGAAGAAGGAGAACACGGAAAATTTGTGAATTTTCAAACTAGTTTTTCTTGGCTCAAACACAACCTTTTTTTAAATTCTTTTTTTTTATTTTGCCAAGAATGATTGCCCCTATCCAGTGGATGAACAATTATTTTAATAGCTTTTGTTTCTTCAGAGCTATAGACGAGTAAAAAAGCCACTTTGTCACGTCATGTATATATACACTGCAGCAGCTGTGTACCGCTGGGGGACTTGGCGGGGCGGAACGCTGCCGCGTTCCTTAATATAAATCTATATATATATATACCTATATATATATATATATATACATATATAAAAATTTGAACGAATGGTGTTTTTGGCCTCTGGGGACATTAAAATGAAAAAGTAAATCGGTCCCGGGCCTAAGTCTTACCATGAGACCTACGGTAATAGCTACTTCCCTATAGGGAAATTCGCTAAATACTTCCCTATAGGGAAATTCGCTACAACAAATAAACAAATTATAGCTACAGGAAACAACGATAAATGCACAAATTTCAGTTACAATCATGCTAACTCCATCCGCCATAGAGACACAAAACAACGATAAATAAAGAAAGTTAAGATAAACCATATTAACACGATCCGTCTTGGGGTTTATGTTTACACAAACTCAAATAGTAAACTAGGGGGCGTTTGCAGGGGCATCCACAAAATTGAGCGGAGTCATCAAGGGTTCATATTATGTTGTTTTTGTCATACTGCAGTAAAAACAGTCGTTTTAAATGCATGCGTTGCGGGTCTAAAGTAGCATTTTTACTCTTTAGGGAGTAAAAATCAGCTGTTGTCAACTCAGTTGTAAATTTCTATTGTAAACGATTGCATGTATCGAAATATGTATCGATTCGTGCTTCGTAATCATTTTAACCTACAGTCTACAGTCTCTACCCATAGCATTTTAGCATCGCAGATACATTAATCCATTCCCACACTCAACACTGCTCACCTTTACTACTTCCTTCACCACCCCCTATGTCGTTGACCTGTTTCCCTCTCTTCCCATAGCATTTTAGGATTGCAGATACATTAATGTAATTGCCAAAGACAGTTCCCACACTCTGCACTGCAAGCCTTACTACTTCCTTCACCATTTCCTACGTCGGGAACCCGTTTTCCTCCCTTTCCATAGAATTTTAGTAATGCAGATACGTTAATCTAATTGCCACAAACATTGCCCACACTCCGCACTGCTAGCCTTTACTACTTCTTTCACCATTTTCTATGTCGTGGGCATGCTTCCATCCCTTCTCATAGCATTTCAGCATTGCAGATACATTAATCTAACTGCTACAAACGGTTTCCAGTTCCCACACTCCACACTTCTCACCTTACTACTTCCTTCGCCTCTTCTTACGTCGCAGGCCTGTTTCCCTCTCTTCCCATAGAATTTTAAGATTGTAGATACCTTAATCTAATCGTCATAAACAGTTCCCACACTCCGCCTTGACTACTACATTCACCACTTCCTACGTCACAAACCAGTTTTCCTCCCTTCCCATAGCATTTTAGGTTTACCTTAATCTAATCGTCAAAAACGGTTTCCACACTCCGGAAAGCTCGCCTTGACTACTTCCATCACCACTTCCTACGTCACGGACCTGTTTTCCTCCCTTCCCATAGCATTTTAGGTTTGTAGATACCTTAATCTAATCGTCATAAACAGTTCCCACACTCCGGACAGCTCGCCTTGACTATTTCCTTCACCATTTCCTACGTCGGGGACCCGTTTTCCTCCCTTTCCATAGAATTTTAGTAATGCAGATACCTAAATCTAATCGTCGTAAACAGTTTCCACAATCCGGACAGCTCGCCTTGACTACTTCTTTCACCAATTCCTTCGTCGCGAACCCGTTTTCCTCCCTACCCATAGAATTTTAGGAATGCAGATACCTTAATCTAATCGTCATAAACAGTTCCCACACTCCGGAAAGCTCGCCTTGACTATTTCCTTCACCACTTCCTACGTCGCGGACCCGTTTTCCTCCCATTCCATAAAATTTTAGTAATGCAGATACCTAAATCTAATTGTCATAAACAGTTCCCACACTCCGGACAGCTCGCCTTGACTATTTCCCTTACCACTTCCTACGTCATAGACCTGTATTCCTCCCTTCCCTTGGCATTATTGGATTAAAAATACCTTAATCTATTGGTCATAAACAGATCCCACACTCCGGACAACTCGCCTTTACTACTACCTTCACCACTTCCTACGTCACGGACCTGTTTTCCTCCCTTCCCATAGCATTTTAGGTTTGTAGATACCTTAATCTAGTCGTCAAAAACGGTTTCCACACTCCGGTAAGCTCGCCTTGACTACACTTCCATCACCACTTCCTACGTCACGGACCTGTTTTCCTCCCTTCCCATAGCATATTAGGTTTGTAGATACTTTAATCTAATCGTCATAAACAGTTCCTACACTCCGGACAGCTTGCCTTGACTACTTCCTTTACCACTTCCTACGTCGCGGACCCGTTTTCCTCCCTTCCTATTGAATTTTAGGAATGCAGATATTTTAATCTAATCGTCAAAACAGTCCCCACATTCCGGACAGCTCGCCTTTACTACTTCCTTCACCACTTCCTACGTCGCGGACCCGTTTTCCTCCCTTCCCATAGAATTTTAGGAATGCAGATACCTAAATCTAATCGTCATAAACAGTTTCCGATTCCACACTCCAGGCTGCTCACCTTTACTACTTCCTTTACCACTTCCTACGCCATAGACCTCAAGCTAGTGTCGTCATTTGATTATATTTATGATCCATACCGTTTCTGTTCTAATATCTGTGGATTAATGCTATCAGCTATTTCTTTATCTACTGCATTCAAAAGTCAACAGCTGATCATATGTTTTTGTTTATGTGTCAAATACTGCTTCCATAAGGATTACATTGAAACTTTGAGACCCAGTGGGGCGGATTCCTGAGAGACTTTTTTAACGCCATATAGATGTTGGCACTCACCGATATGGTCTTTATCACCATGCAAAATTTGAAAACGATTGATTCAGCCGTCTAGGAGGAGTTTGCGTATTACGAAATGCATAAGAGTCGACGTATAAGAGCTTCGCTCGCTTCGCTCGCTCCGCTCAATAAATGTACTCAGTACGTTTCATTGAATTGAAAAATAATAACAGCAATTAAATTATACAGCTGATCAAAATGTAAACAATTATGTTCTCCATAAGGATAACATGGGAACTTTAACAGCAACTGGGGCAAAGCCCAAGGGATTTTTTCAAAAATGTAAGGCCAGTTTGAAAATCTACGCGACACCCTCTTTCCAATGAGATGTCAATGAATAAAATCGGTTAAGAAATGGCGGAGGAGTTCAACCGACCAAATTTCATGTCGCGTATTAATTATATAGATTGCACACATCACCAGTTTTGCTAATTTTTATATCAATATATATTTAAATTTTGGTATATTTTTTTTTAATTTTGGTTAAAAATGGACATGTAATGATGTAACACTTATGATAAAAGGCTTAAAAGGACATAATATAAAAAAATATGCCGATGTCATTGGATGTAAAATCATTCCTCAATCTTCAGTTTAAACAAAAAAATGTAAGGCAAGTATTTATAGCTAAAATAGATATTCTTCAAACAGCTATAGGCCTACAACAACTACCGTAGTGTTAAAACTGCAACACACCAAACGAATCAGGAAGCCAGTTGGTAAAATGTTCAAAATGCTATTTAGTGCCTACAGTCTACACACATTAGATAGATGGTATTTTCACAAAATATTTTAAAATCCCGCTTTATAAATTGTGTAAAGATTCAAAACTTTTGGTGCATAAATGGGGGAAGTAATATAAAATCAAATGTCTAAACCTCTTTGTGGAACACCCTGTAGGCTACACGAGGGTATGATAACCCTGTCACATGTATTGATGATACTAACTTGTTGCCAGGGTTGTATCCGGCCGGAGGTGTGTGAAACACATGTTGCGCCACAGAGTCACTGACGACGTTAGGTGGAGCGTGGTCGCTGGAGAACATCGTAGGCCGACCCTCTCTGATGTTCAGCTGATCTTGCACCGCTACTTCCAGATCCCAATGGTGTCTCTGGAGCACATCTCTACATAACGTCACGTTCTCTATTCCCGTCAAGTCCTGTCAAAACATTACTACATAGTCACCATCACCTAATATAAAACACACGACCCATACAAAAATGACATTTCTACAAAAGACTTGGCCAAGTAGTCTGAACATGAGGTGCATTAGTTGATGATTTTAAGTTATAGCTATCAGTTAATCCTATTTTTACGATTTACAATTCACTTTTGATAAGCTCATGTATTCTCGTTTTGAAATTCAATTAAACATTAAACAAAATTATAACCTAGATTTCACTGACTTTATTCTATAAGTTACCCAGTTCCTGCCTGCCTGCCAGTGACTAGTGGTGCTATAGTATAATTTGGTATAAATTAACTAATTCAAAATTACAAGTCTCATTTAACTCACAAATAATTACCGGTAAGTAAAAGTTTATCCTTCTTTGTTCAACGTTTCGATTCCATTGAGCATAAAGTCGAATATAAACAAGAGTGTTTGCTCTCCAACAGTCTACATAAGGACTCGTCCAAACCGCCATATTAACTTACCAACCGCTCAATAAGTTAGACGTTAAATCGTAATTTTAAATTTAGTTTTAGGCCTAAAGACACTTAGGAGTCTTTCCGACCAAAACTAATTGTAAATTTTGGATTCACCTACAACCCAGGGAATAACTTAATTTGGTAAATTGCCTTTGGAAATTGGAGAAACTAATCTTTACCTGACAACAGAACTTTATGTCTGTTGAGAGGTATTCACAAAGGTGACACGCGGAATTGTGAGATGTTGCACTACTTTTTATTGACCTCCTTAAACTTCTATATAAAACCATTTTTAGACGAACAAATTTAGGATTAAAAAAAACAATCTTATTAACTTAAGTTTAACTTAGTTTTTTTTATATAGTTTTTATTTACCAACAGTACCTAGCTAGACTATATTATAAGGTCAAGTGGGGGTAAGTGTACGCCCCAAATCACATTGTAGGCTACAACTTTGACCACAGATTGAAAAAAAAGCATGTATGCTACACAATGTATGCATGGTGCTATACAAGTCAAATTTGCTGAACTTATTCTTTGGAATGTTTTGTATATGTGGTTTTTTATTTTGTAAAAAATATGAATTTTGTGTTTTTGAGAATTTGTTTGTAAAATTATGTTTGGGGTGTAAGTTAGGTACACTTCCCCCTTGATCTGGGGTAAGTGTACACCCCCCCCCCTTATGGTAGCTTTCCACTGCATATTACTTAATGTTGGGACAAGTAGATTGTAGAGGGGAAAATTAGCTTTCTTTTGATCTTTTATTTGTCGAAATATCTCAAACGGTTCAGAAGTTATACACTTTTTTGTGAACCTCCGGAAGGGAAAATGGAAACCCCAGCTTTATTAGAAATTGTAAAGAAAATAAATACCCCTGCCGCAGCAAACCTGCTGACTAAGCGAATTTCCATTTTCTTGAATTGATTTTCAATTAAATGTATTTAATTAACATTAGGTTTTATGAGTAGGCTACCTAGGCTTGCTGCTACAGGTAGGGTACAAAGTGTGTTTTTTAGTAATATATTATTAACTTAGGATAAAACAAATAAATTTACCAAGTAAGAAATGACCATTTCAAAAATGCAAGCATTTTTGAAATCGTAGTCTCGTTGTTTAAGCCAATGTTCCAATAGTGATAAAACGTTGTAGATCTTACATAAATAAACAACCCGCCAACTATAACCTATACTTTACCTTACTAATCTAACCTAACTTCAAAACACTTAATGCAGCCACGAACCCGCATAATCCCCGTCTCCCCTTCCCCACATGCCTAAATAAAGTATTTCCAAGGTTATTTTACATAGTCTACAACTAGGGGTCTCAACCCCGGGATCTCGGCCGATTTTTGATACCTAGAAATCCCGGGACTGGTGTCTTTTAATCCCGGGATTAACGGGATTGCAAAAAACCTATGTTTATATTGATTTTTTGTGAATTTTAGGACTTTTACTTACGGAAAATTAATAAAAATAGTCCAATAACACTTAAAACACATATACTCTTTATTTTTAGGACGATTATATGAAATGGTACCTATAATTAATGATCTTTTTGATTGGAAAATTTAATTATTGTATTGGATCGAAGGCCCGGGATTGAGACCCCTATCTACAACCCAGTTGTAGGCTATGATGAGAATTATTACTCTTTGTCTTGCTGACTCATAACCAGTGGCCAATAGCGAAGCGTCAACAACACAAGTGACGTGGCATTGGCCAATAGCGACGCGACAACAAACCTAATGACGTGGCATTGCCACATCGACATATGTTTAGGTTGGTACTTGCCCTGTATTTATCCCTGATATGTGCATAAAATACCTGAAATGGGAATATTATCCCCAGTAATTTTGATTTTTATCCCGTTTTATGTATTTTATCCCACATAATTAAAAAAATCCCATATTTGTTGTACAAATTACCCATCTTCCCATGAAATTACCCTTTTGTCTCAATTTTATGTGACTTTTTCCCCCCCACCCAAAACCCCGAATTCCCACTCTGTCCCCTAGAGAGTAGGAATTATTGCTGATAAAAATTACCCTGTTGTCTCGATGTTTTAGCGATTTAAATAATTAGCCTGTTGTCTCGATGTTTTAGCGAGTTAAATTAGCCAGTTGTCTCGATGTTTAAGCGAGTTTTCTCCCCACCCAAAACCCCGAATTCCCACTCTCTCCCCTAGGGGGTGAGGAATTATTGCTGTTATAAAACCGATTGTGTAGTTATTAAAATAAGCCTCAGCGACAAAAAAGTTATTTAAGCGAGTTGTAGTATTGATGTCAAAGAACAGTTTAAGAACGTTTTTAAGTGCGTTTTAGGTGAGTTGTGGAAACTGAATAATAACCGTATTGTGTTTGTTAGACTTGACCTTAAGGTAAAATTAAATTTGCGGTAATTATTGCAACGAACGTGACCATGGGAACCTATATAGACTTATATATCACCAGAAACTAGATTTTTTGCTGAAAATAACAGTGCACAAATTTTTCCGCGCCCACAAATATTAACGGAGTAACGGCTGTTTTAAGTTTTATTTACCTTTGTAAGTCTACTGACTAGTCTATTTTAATTGACAATATTTCCTCGCCAGAAACTTTGTATAACTATTAAATTTATGTAAATTGTAAGTGATTTTAAGTAAATATTAGACTCACACTAAGAATCAATAGGTTAATTAACGCGAACTTATTAATTTCAGCATAAAGAACGTTCGGGAAACAAGATAGCTAAGCTGTACGCAGCTAAGTGAAATGGTTCAGTGGCGACTGGCGGTGGCGTTGGCGGCATGATGGATTTGACAAAATCCAGTTCCAAGTTCCAGTAATCCAATCCACTCTACAAAATAGGCCAACATTGTTACTTTAACGATGTAGATTTTATGCCCTTTTGAATCCTTATACTTAGAATAAGGATTTTTGGTATTTTCCTGTTAAAGGGAACATTCATTATTATCGATGTTTTTTCTCGATATATCGATATTAACAAATTGAATATATCAGCTGACAAACTACGATAAATAAATATTGTTTAGAATCAACAAACAATAATTTAAAAAAATATTGAAATACTGTTCTAAACTAACCTAACAAAACTAACCAAACTTGCTGTAACATTTAAAAACTCCGCTTAATATTCTCCAATCGCCTTTTCTGTTATCAAACGGATTTTTTAAATGGTACAGCAAGTTCGGTTGGTTATGTTAGGTTAGCTTAGAACAGTTTCATTTCTTAATCCATATAATAGACTATATTTTAGCCTAAAGATCAGCTATCAATTTGTAATGTATCGTAAAGGAAAACAAAATATCGATATATCGAGAAAAAATCATCGATAATAATGAATGTTCCCTTTAACAATAAAGTACTGGATTTTTACGTAGGCATACTTCTAAAGCCTAACAACTAGGCCTACTAATAAACATACACTAACAAACAATGGTAGACTTCTCATTTCATTCTAAAATCTGAAGTTTTTTCCATGTCTAGTTCATGTAGGTGACAGTTCAGCGCTAGTGTCATAACACTTTGTTAAATATTATCAGAGAGTACTAAAGTATTATTAAAAATATTAGTAATGAACTGTGCTTTACATTTGGTAATATAACCAGGGGGAAGAGTGATTGTGTTATTGACTTAAATAACACGTTGATTAGACTATGAATACATATTATTATTAAAATTAAACTATTCTAAACTAACCTAACCAAACCAAACTTGCTGTAGCATAAAATATAAGTATGATGACAGAAAAGGCATGTGTAGAAGGCAAGTCGGGCTTATGCGGATTCGTGACTGTATTAAGTGTTTTGAAGTTAGGTTAGATTAGGAAGGTAAAGTGTAGGTTATAGTGTACTGAGTTGATAATTTATATTACACACAGGCAGTTATTGTGCAATTAAAATAGTGTGTTAAACACGACGAAATAACAATTTCAAAAATGCTGCAAGCATTTAATAAATAATATCATTCTGAAATAAGTTATTCAGTGCCGTGTTGTTTGTTAGATGTTTGTAGCACATGTACTTTAAATGACTTGATTGACTTATTTTTATTCTCTTCTCTTCAATTTCGTATTTTCATTTTCATTTCAGGTTCAGTATAGTTCTACAAGTAACAGTTAGTCCGTTCCGTAATTCCGTAATCCGCAATGCGTCAAGCAGTAGCAGACTAGAATAGAAGGTATATATAACTTAAAGGAAATCAAAACGACAAATTATCTTAACTTAAGTTACCTTAGTCAATATTCGTGGCCTCGGAGACATTTTTGCACTGTTATTTCCTGGTAAAAAGTGAGTCTTCTACGTTAATTACTTACAATAGGCTTATAAATAGGTTAGGTCAAAAAAACGAAGTACCGGTAAATAAAACTTAAAACAGCTGTAACTCCGTTAACCCTCCAAGCGTCAAGCAAAAACGCCTTGGCGTTAAGCTGTTTTTTACTGATTTGCAGGATTTCATTTAACATAATCTACAGCCTATTTAAATGTCAGAAACTATGATGTTTTGTATATCATTTTGTTCACAGGTTCATGGGCTACAATAATATAGGTGTTATTTGCAATAAAAAATATATATATAAAATGATAGACAAAAAATCAAAATATAAAAATCTAAAAAAACTTTTAGCTTTGCGCTAAGTTCAAATAAAATATTTCTAGGCCTACAACTATTTGAAGATAGCCACATTGTCTGAAATTTTATGTAGATTACAAATATATAGGCCTAACTTACACATTATTACCGAATAGTAACAAAAAGTTATAGGTGTAAAAGTGATTTTCTGCGCCATGTTTATGGTCAGAATCTGATAATAGGCTAATATAGGCAAGTCTGAATCTAATGTTGGAGGTTCATTTATTTCTAAATTACTGTCTATGTCCACTTCATCAGGATCATCTAACTCATCACTACTCTCAAATAAACAATCACGAATGTCACTACTTATCCATATTTAGGAATTAACACGACATCTAAAACACTTGGATTTCTTTGGGCCATCACCAGCATCCTTCAGACGTGATGTCCAGAGGCTGCTCTACTGACACCTCTCCGCTATCTATCAGTGTTGGTTATTTGGTGGTGCCTCTAAAGGGCCACATGCTGGGTGCCGGGAAGAGCTGATTCGTGTCAAGTGATGGGATTTGTGCTCTTGGAGTTCCTTGGTGGTGCCTTTAGAGGGCCACACGCTCAACAGTGTTAAGTGATTAAATGTCTTGTTGTCAGCATTCTATCAAAAGGTTTTTCTCCCTCCAGATCCATCCTTTTGTTATATAGTTTTGTTTTTATGTTACGTTAGCTTTTTCACAGTTTATTATATTGTTATCTATTGTCATAGTCTATTATTGTTATGTATAGTAAATTTATTAATGTTAATTATTCACAATGTTAGTCATTTTGATGATTACTGATTGTTATTGATGTTAATTATTCACACTTATTGTTATTGTAGTTAATTATTTACACTGTTTCTTGTTATTGTCATTGATGTTTATTATTCACACTTTGTCTTGTTATTGTTATTGATGTTAATTATTTACACTGTTTCTTGTTATTGTTATTGATGTTATTTATTTACACTGTTTCTTGTTATTGTTACTTTTTTTCACAATGTTGTAACTGTTGCAATTTCACTCAAACTGTCCACCACCACCACCAAACTTCTTACTCATTTATTGATGTTTTCTATTGTATTATATCTTGTTGCATGTAAATCTTGTCTGATGTATTGTTTTGTAAAATGGCGATTGCCGTCGGAATGAATAAATAAATAAAAAATCCACCATTTACAAGTGTTAGTAAACAAGCAACTGTCAACGTCAACAAATAAAACATTGACAAAGTTTACAGCTGCGCTACGATCACTACATACAGTTTAGTGGCTCGAGACAGACATTGGTAGAAAGCCCAACTTCTACCGTAAACGGTGATACCAATATAAATCAGGTCCCATTGCGTCGAATTGGATTTAGAACGAATTGAACGAAACACCGTGTGTTCGTCTACGCGTAGATGCTCGACGCCCCACAGGGGGTTTTGTTCGTCTACGCGTAGACTCTCGACGCTCGGAGGGTTAATATTTGAGCTCGGAAAAAATTGTTGCACTATTATTTTCAGCTAAAAATCTAGTTTCTAGTTATATATCAATCTATATAGGTTCCCATGGTCACGTTCGTCACAATAAATACCAAATTTGCTAAAATATTAATAGGCCCAGGCCATAATAGGCCTATCGAACAGAGGAAGGGTACAGTTTCTTAACTGGGCTATGTTAATATCGATCGAAACTATTGAATTGAAAATATTGATTAATAATCGATTGATTAATAAATCGTCCTTTATTGTCATTATGCATAGGGCAAATTGTGCTTCAACCTAGTTGGTACAGAAAACAGTATTCAGCAACTTATCCTGAAATCGGCTTTTAATTTAAACATGTTGAAATTTGTAAAGTAAAAATAACATGTAGGCCTACTTGGCAATGTAACAAGTTGGCTATAGTAGCTTTGTTCTTGCAAGGACTAAACAGATACATTCCTAATAATTAAACTTGGTATTCGTCATTAAACCATAGCATAGCCTAGGAATAGAGCTGTTAGCAGGAGCAAACTATGCTATTTTTTTAATGTAAGTTTCATGTTATATGGAGATTTTTTCGTTACTATTATCATGTAGTCTAGGCATATTTTAAATCTCATCAGGTAATTTCCTCTTTGTTAATTTAGTAAACCTTTGAAAAATCTTTGTAATCTAACCAAGGAAGGGCTTGTGACGATGAACCACAATCAACAGCTGAAGCAAAGGTTGATAGACCAGCTTTCTCATTAGTTTAAGGTTTAGTGTTGGTTTCCATTAAAACCCTAGTTAAAACACTATCAATATAACAAAGAAACTAAATTGATTACTAATTTCCCTGTCAATCACTTGCAAGCATTCAATAGCTTGTCTTGTCACTGGTACCGGTAACGTTTAAACGTCGTCTGCATCTAGCGATTTTATTTTATCTGACAGTAATCATAGAGTAGTAAATTAAGGAAATGAAAGCTAAAAATGTGGATAACACTTATTTAATGGCCTCCATATGTCCACACAACGTTGTAATAGGGAATGAAACGGCTGCAACCAGCTGTATGAAGCCAAGAAAGTAGGCCTAATTGTTTTGGAAATCTCAGTTTGAAAGATGTTGTTTCACGTAAGGTTGAGGTTATGGTAAAAATCACTATCTCAAACAATGTTAATGTAGCGAGAAAAGTAGCTAAAATTCCGCTACAACTACTTTAAAAATGTAGCTAGCTACAGCTAAAGCTACAAAATCTTAAAAGTAGCGACGCTACAGCTAACGCTACTAAAAAAGTAGCGCGCTACTGTAGCGTCGCTACTTGTAGCGCGCTACTTCCCAACACTGACTATAACCCAGAATGCCAATCGCATAGTAAAAACCATTAAGCGTTTTGAGAGAGCTTTGCCTGTCAATCCGTAGGCAGCGCCACCAGCATTGCTATGCTGAGTGCATGGCAACGCTGGTGGCGCTGCCTACGGATTGACAGGCAAAGCTCTCTCAAAACACTTAATGCTTTTTATCATGCGGTTGGCATTCTGGGTTATAGTAGTATGTTTTCTGTGACCTACCCCAGAGGAATGTAAAATTACAGATGTAGGCCTAACTTAGGCTATGATTTTTTGTTTATGATGGTAAGTTAAGAACTAAATCGAATCACCATAATACAACTAACTTAACATGTGGGAAAGTAAGGTCATTTTCTAAAGAGTAAATTAGGCCTATTTCAATCTCAAGCGAAGGCTAGGCCTATCTAATTTAGCTCTTTAAAAGTTAGTAAGAGGTAAGAAGAATTAATATATTCCTAGCCTACTTAACTTAGGCTACAGGAGAAAAAATGTGGTGAAGATGGGGCCTAATCATGGATTTTACAACGATTAATTGAAGGCTTCATTCAACAATTTCTGGGCCCATGTGGGGCTTAGGGCCTACCCTACTAGCATAGATAAAACATACTCCTTGAGGAAGTACTAGGCCTAGGTACTGTACATAGGCTAGATCAAGACCAAGTCACATACCCTACACTATTTACGATTACCTACCTGAAACTGTAAGACTTTTTCCGTTTGTTCTTCGGTTAAATTCATTTCAAGGTTATCCATTTTATTTTATTTCTTCTACAGACCAGGTTATATGCATCCAAAACAAAACAATGCCAATTTCTTGTGAGTGATTACTAATTTGTAAAGAAAACAGAATAAAGGTTTAAAAGTGGTACGTTCACTAGACTAAGTTAGATGGATAACATTAATTTATTTAACTTCCTTAACACTGCAGACGATTTTACAAAGTTCATAAAATTCTCAAAACGTGACAAAATTTGCTATTGGCAGTAATCAGAGACATAATTTTACCGTGAAACATTTTCGTTCGTCTTCGCCTTTCAGTGAGTGACAGTGAATGTGATGATTCGATGATTCTGATTCTGATTTCAGAGTTCTGACTGTTCTGAGTTTTGTCTATGGTTCTGCTGACTGAAAAAAACTGAAATCAGTGAAAACGAAAACATCATGTTTTTACTGGTCCAAAATGAGTGGTTTCATATCGTCTGCTTGGACTATAGTAGACTTAGATTGAGTATTTCTTGGAGTCTTGGAGCAATGGAATGGGACAATGCACTGCAGCATTGATTAAGTTTCAAAGAAAATTGTATATTGGTTGAGTTACGTTAATGGTTGTCGACAGTCTGGGACCAACTTGTCAATAAATAGATGGATAGATTAGTCGGTTGCCCGTTTGAGTTCAAATTTTCGGCATTATGTTCTGATAGTAAAGACCTTTAATTTGATGTACATGTTTGATGTTTGATGTACTATGCTTCTATTTAAGATTTCCTTCTGACTCCTTGCGGGACGTCCCCATGATATGACAGAAAATTTATATTTCCTAAAAAAGTAGATTTTTAGGAGTGGTGTTGATGTACCTACCAAATCTTATTGATTTATCTGTTGTCGTTTAGAAAATATTTAACTGTCTTTGGACTTTATTACCACCCTGTATATAAATAATACTTAGAAATTACTTTATTGTTTTTGTCCAAAATTTCAAGTTTGAGTGAATGTATCTGTTTTGGGCCCCCCTGAGCCCAAAAAATTGGTTTTTGAAGTAATTTTCTGTGTGTGTGTGTCTGTCTGGACCCTGGACCTGGTTGTGTGCGGATGTGTATAGAGCTACTGACCACACCTCTAGTCCGATTTTGATGAAATTTGGTAAGTAGGTCTATCTATGGTATCTCCAGGTATTTTTTCATTTTTTTTAAATTTTTATTTTAATGGTGATTTTTCTGTAAAAACCCACATAATAACGGAAAAATCTAATTTCCTTAAAAATGGCCAGAACGATTTTGATAGTAATTTAGTATGTTATAGTCCTTTAAATTCTAAACAAAATGGTAGGTGCAACTCCCATATCTGTAAACCAGGGGGACCCAAGACGGATATATCCACTCAAAACTCAAACTCTAATATTTTGACAAAAACAATACTTTCTCCATATACTTATGGTATAGGGGGAGAAAGTAAAAATACGGTTCAGTAATAATTCTAACTTATCTTATTTTCCCATAAAAAAACCTATAAAATAACAGATTTTTTTTCTGAACGGTTTTTTTTAAATTTGATTTTGATTAAAATCAGTACATTATGGCCTTTACAGTTTTAAACAAAATAGCTTATGGGTCCAGCTTCGAACCATCAAAAAGCTACTGTCTTTTTTTGTTTAAGTGATAAGATAAGCTTTGTTTAGATGTGCTATTTATATGTATGGAGTAAATAGCATTAAGTTTGTACTATTTATAAATTGATGTGTTCCCATTGCCTCACTCTGTGTATATCTTTGGGTATATACAATATATATATACTTTATACTTTACTTTAATACTTTGCGGGTATAACAGAAAAAGTGTTCTGTTATACTCAGTAGACTTGAATTGAACAGTTGACCTGAAGTATAATAAATAATAATGACTGCCCAGACAAATGTTTTGTCTATTCATGTTTTACCGGATCTAGTTTTATTTTCTTGGTTGAACTTGAACCTCATTTGTTGTTGACTTTGTCATATGCATGTACCTTGCAAATTACGGCAATAAAAAGTTTCTGATTTCTGATTTCTGATAATAATAAAACTTTTGGTTGCTTTGAGGTAGGTAGTAAAAAACTGTCTACTGCACTCTTTGTACTCCGTAGAATCTGCAACACCACCGATCTGGACACTACAATGATAGCCTACCACTCCATCTTCGCTTCACACTTGAGATATGGCATTGCCTCATGAGGTTCTACATCTGCCAAAAACCTCGAAAGAATATTAATTCTACAGAAAAAGACTGTAAGAACAATCTTGAGGTTAGACCCATATGAACAATGCAAACCACACTTCATTCGACTCAACATCCTTACCATCACATCACTGTATATCCTTGAAACCATCATTTACTCCATAAACTTAACACCTGTCCGCAGACAAGAACTCCATACACACAATACAAGACACAAAGCAAACATAGATCTACCCCAACATAGACTCTCTAAATTCAGCAATACACCACAATACACTGGCTCAAAATTTTACAATTTGCTACCACAACAATTTAAACATCTACACAACAATAAAACATTTGTCCAACACCTAAAAAAATACCTCACCAATAGACCATATTACAACATAAACGAGTACATAGAGGAACACTCATACATACACATACGCCAGCTCACTTCGTGAACAAATAGCAAAATCCCGTCCAGACGGAAGAATCATGACGATTCTCCGATCTACGGATTGTGGTGAAGACATCGAAGGTAAAAGGTAAAAGGTGTCAAATAATATTTTTTTGCTAGCTTTTGGAAATATCCCTTCTTTATCAACTCATCCAAAAACATTTCGATGTTACTAAAATTGAGATTTGAAATGAAGTAGAAAGTAAAGATTGATATTTGCTAAGTACTTGATGACTCAAGATATTCATTTCTATCCAGAAAATACAATTCTAAAATTCTTAAGACTGTAAGCAACAGTCATGAATGATGATTTAACTCAGAATTGCTAGCAGGGAGTGTAAAAAGTATTTAATAACATTGATTAAAGCATATTCCGGTTAGTCCATGATAGCACAAAACAACTAGAAATGTTCCAATTCTCCAATTATAATTATTGTAGTTTTCTTCAAATTAAAGTTGATTATGAAACATTCAATAGAATATTCATACAATCCAGATTCGGTTCTTGTAATCCTCAGTATAAGTTCTGAATTTGAACAAAGTTTTTTGAAAATTATTTCTCATATTTGTTTGCGTTTAGTGTTTTCTGTACCCCAAATGGCATAATCCAGAAAGCATATTTACTTTGGTAATACTTTAAATTTGAATTCTAATATATTCTTATGGCTTTTAATTGATTAAGTTTACTTAAGATTGAATGAAGTTGTAATCAACACAACTGTGTCCACCATCATGTTGATTAGAGAACAGTCGATATCAAACAACACATGTGGGGTGTCCAAGTAAGCGTCATTGACAATGCTGGGTAGTTTGCTGAACACTTTCGAGGCTGGGGTCGACAGAGTTAGTGCCTTCTGTGCTAAAACAACTGAAAGACGACCCCTTTTGTACTTGATCCATCCATTTAGTATACTACTCTGGTTGAAAAATAATACGGATGACATAATCATTAAGAAATATCCTCCTGTATAGAAAATTTTTGAAGCATGTGATAGCATAATGGGATAGTACATAAAACATCCAATCGTTTTAATAGCAATCAAGAAGTAAGACCAAGACTGAAACCTTAGTCTGAGATCATTTGATTCTAACATTATTGCAATGATGTTTGGATTGGTTTCCTCTATAGTGCTTATATGTTCTGGAGAACACTCTATTTCAAAAATTTGTGCTTTTCACAAATGTTCCGATCATCTCAAGAGAAGGTTTGATAGATGAACAGATTTCCCCATTGTGAGATTGTTTTGAACAAAACTGGCTGAAGTAATGTAGGACTTCCAGTTCTGAGATCCTAAATATTATACAGTTGAGGAAAAACCCCTAGTTTATAAACATAAAAAATATTATTGCAACAATAGATATTGTTTTAGTAAAATCTTGTGACGGAACTCCAAACAGTTCATGTACTTTGTCCTCTTTAGTGATCGACGATACGTTTACCAACATTCCTAGGATGAACAAAACCGTTTCAATCGCTTTGAACAAAGTGAACAAACGTTTCTTTCCATTCTTTCTGAGGTATTTGTCAAAACGATGATGTTGCTTTGAAGATTTTGTTAGAGTTGTTAGTAAGTGACGAGTTTTTACGTTGTGGATTGTGGAGTATAATGTGTCCATGGAAGAGTAGGCAGACACAATTCTGTAGTACATAAAACTGTCTGATGATGGTTCCGGCACTGAGACTTCACTATCTGTACTCCAAAAAATAAGGTAGGCACAAAAAAAAGTGTAGGCAATGCTAATCATCTGAAGAATTTTTGAACAACCAGAATTACTTGAGTAAGCACCAGAAAGATAGTTTATTACTGCTCCTAGTTTCAGGAAAAACATGTTATATCAACTAAAAAAATGCTTTTACTGTACTGAAATAAATGTTAAGCATACATATTTCTCATTTGTGATGGCGAGTTGCTATGGGGTTTGGTCAATAGCTTCTACATTGAGTAGATGAGTTGTCGAGGGTTGAGTACCAGTAAAATATATATTAAGTGTATCATTTTAAAACCTATTGCATAATGAATGAAAGAAAATTATATGTATGACCATGCTAATTCTAATTATATTATTTACTTCTTATCTGATTAGGACATTGGCACTTAAAAGTCTACAAGATTTAGACTTTCAGCAACACTCAAACTGATGACTCCTGTCACCAAAATTTAGCAGATAAAAATGTCAGCCCCTGGCGAATTTGTTGGCAAGTTAATCCATCATTTGTGAGTTTCACAAAAAATTGTTACCTGTAACTAAGAATAATATGCATTTAAAAATCCAAAAACTGCAAAATTTTAACTCTATGAATAGACTCCTAATTTCCAAAACATTTAGCATTTGATATACTCAAAAATATGTCCAGTCACACTTAGTGCCAAAATACAGATTGAGATACAAATTACACTATGTCAATATTGAAGTAAAATGAAATATTGATCTTGCCTGAGGCTGGAATTCATAACTTGATGAACTATTAGTTTACTCATTCCTGTGGCCAATAATAATATTGAATTATAGTATATTTATAACTTCCATTAAAATCTCATTTTATAAATTCTGTACACTTGACAGTAGAATGTGGATGTCTCTGAAAACAAAACAGAAAGGAGAAAAGGAAATGATAAGACTATAATAAAAACTATCGCTTTATTGCAAAAAAAAAAATACCATCTAAAATGTTACTAACAGTAGGTAC